AACAACAACAACAACATGAAGTATTGGCTTCATGGTAGGCAAGGATCACTGTTAAATCTAAAGTTTAGGCACAGTATCTCAACAGGAAGAATAGTGGGGCTAATCTTCACAAGGGCCTGGTGAGGGAATGACTGTTTTGAGTATAGACCTGTTTCCCTTCTGCCTTAGTTTTAACCAATGTTCATGATATAGGCTCATACAGGCTTCTTAGTTCTACTGTAGACTGTTCCCCTTCAATATAGCAGGATTCTAATAGGTATAGGTGATTTTCATGAAAAATTAGATTGTCTAGAGTTAAACATTATCATCAAAGATAACTATTTAAAGAGCAGTCAGAGTACAGCTTTAGAATTTTGTTTTTAAAAAAACTTAAATCCTTAAAAATCTGCATGATATTACCATAATGAGTTGTGAAGTTGAAAAAAAATTCTTAGTCTGTCACTAATAAAAAAATAAATTTGGATCAAACATGTTAGAGGAAAGGCATAGTTATATTTCTGTTCTTCCTGTAGAAAATTATCTGACAAAACTATTGTTATATAAAGAGGCAGTCATAGCATATGTAGCCACAAAACAGAAAAAATATTGTAGAGGTGTGTCAGACTGCTAATCATACTATTGCTATTTTTCCGGATTTTGTGATGTTTATGGTATTTGTCAGTTTTTAAAATTTTGTAATTTGTAATTTGTTGTGATTTCTCATTTGAATAAATACAAACTTTCAGAGCTAATGCAACATATGTATTGGTTAAAATATGTATGTTGCAGGGAGAGAAAACAGATGAATACAGGGATAGCACAGGTAAACTAATAGCACAGGTAAATCAAAGGCAGTATAGATTACAATGAAGAAGTGGCTCAGTTGCAGTTTGGAAGATTGAATTTAACTAAATGTTGGACAGTGGTTTTATTTACTACTTTAAAAAAGATGCTAAGTTAGAGTTGTTTGATTTGATACAAAAAAATTTTTTTGTGTTGAATTTTTACTACTTTAAAAAAGATGCTAAGTTAGAGTTGTTTGATTTGATACAAAAAAAATTTTTTGTGTTGTGATTAAAAAAAATTAAGGCATTCTAGTGGTACAGTAAAAGGAGCTCTAGTAGCACAGTGGCTAAGGCATCTGACTATTAACCAGAAGGTTGGTGGTTCAAACCCACCAACCACTCCACGGAAGCAACACTGAGCGATCTACTTTCATAAAGATTTACCACCTTGAAACCCAGTGATGGGGTTTGCTATGAGTTGGAATCAACTTGATGGCCCTGAGTTTGGTTTGTTTTGTGTTAGTGGTATAGTGGTTAAGGCATTTGGCTGCTAACCCAAAGGTTGGTGGTTCAAATCTACCAACTGCTTCATGGAAGAAAGATGTGCCAGTCTGCTGCTGTAGAGATTGGAAAAAATCAAATGGAAATCCAATGACAGTCACTATAAGTCAGAATCGACTCCATGGCAGTGAATTGGCTTTTTTGGTTTTTTAAAAAATTGCATACAAATACTTCAATGGATTTGAAATTTTCTTACCTAATTATTTTTGAACTAAGTTTGTTTTTTGTTATTGGCTGTTTGTTTAATTGGTACTATTTTATCTTGGTGCAATTTTTCAGATCTAAATTGAGTTTTCATACTTTGGCTGCCTTCAGTTTTCACATGGCCTTATGAATGGCCCTTTTTTTCTTTTATGGCATCTTATGAAGAGAGAGGCCTTTGTTAGAATAGTATGATTAGGTCTATCAGTTCCTTAGACTTTTGATTGTTATGTCAGATAATGGCAGGAAAAATCATAAGAACTGCAACCCAAGCCAGTTAATTTTGCTCTTTTGTTAACAGCTTTGTTGGTGGCCAATTGGAGTAATAAGATGAGGTGAAGATTATTTTTCAGTATTAGTTATCTATATAAGATATTTTTTTCCTCCATGATTGTGGATAATTTAAGATTGATTCAATATGGAGAAGCATTTTAAGGCACCTTCAAGGGATGCTGACTATTCATTAAAAATGCAGAGTTTGTGATTGTGCAGAGACTTCTAATATTTGAACTTAAAAGTAAATTAATCCAAAAAATGCAGAATTTTCACATTTTCAGCAACTTTTTTTTTTTTTTTTTT